TCTAAATGGCTACAATACACAGCAGAACACATGGTTCCCACTTCCACGACCTAAAAAACAGAAAGCTAGCCTACTCTACACAATAACAATTCTGCGAAAAACGAAGCCATGTGCCAAACCACAAAGCTCCAACCACAAAGGGACGACGACCAATCCTGGGAGAGGCATCCAGGCAAAGCAGCGCATATTCCGACAACGCAGGGGCGACGATCAATCCCGGGAGGGATGCGGATAAAGCAGCACACACCAGGGGAGTCTTGTGTACGAATACGGCTTGGTTTCTCTTCTCGCACCAATTGCGAGAGGCGCAATCCTTGCTACATGGACCGTTGTCGATCCTGCTTCGGCTCTTTGACCGGAACGCACCAAGCAAATCGTTATTCGACATCAACGAATGGCAACTCCGAGACCACAAACCACAGGAATCCACACAGGAGACTCGTGAACGAATAAAGCTTGGTTTCTCCTCTCGCATCAATTGCGAGAGGCGCAATCCTTGCTACATGGATCGTTGTCGATCTTGCTTCGACTCTTTGACCGGAATGTACCAAGCAAATCATTATTCGTCGCAAAAAAAGGGCAGCTCCCGGACCTTTTGTCATTGTCGCGGACGATCCTTGGTTTGAAGCTACTCATGGTGAAAAGAACAAGCGGAAGGAGAAGAAGCGCCTGAGACGGGAGAGTCGGAAGAACATGAAAGCGACTTGAGGCCACACATGCAATATAAGCCTATATGTAAAGCGCGTGTCCACACATGCAATGTAGGCCTAAATTGCATGTGTGGTTTGGCCTATATCGAAAGTGCGTGTCCCCACATGACATATAGACCTATATCCAAAGGATACGGTGTGGCCTCAGTCACTTCGCAGTCCGTGAGCGAGTATTGGCCTTGAGGCCAATCGCTACCCCACCATGCGGACTCGACACCTCTTCACCGCATGCCTTTCTTTTGCGCCCCTTCCTGCCGCCAGCCGTAGTCCTGCTCGATTCGTGGCTCATGGCGAGGCTCAAGACACTCTGTTGAGCATTTGCAACAGGCCCGGACGCAGGTTGTGGCTCAGCCTCTGGTCTAGCTTCAGGAACAACGTTGGGCTCAGGCATGGAAGCAGGCACAGGTCTACCCTCACCGGGAAGAGACATAACGAAAGCGGGCTCAACACCGGTAACAGTTTGCTCCACACCGGACGGGCCGGCAGCAGCCTCGGCAGTGGGCAAACTCGCATCTGACGGCCCGACAGCGACAGCGTCAGCGCTGTCCGCCACTCCAGCAACAGTGCCCGTATTTTCGTCGGGCACGAGTTCATTTCCAGCAGACTTCGTATCCCCAGACAACTTAGGTCGGGTTGCCTTGTGCGACCTTTTCTTTCCGCTTTGGCGTTTCGCACGCAAGTGTGCCGCCGATGCCTGTCAGAAGCCTCGTGGTGATGCCCTTAGCGCACTTGGTGTTTATCTCCACCACAAGGCAATTCCGATTTGCCTTAACGCACGCTATGGCGCATGTGCCGGAACCGGAGAAACCATCCAGAACGCAGGCCCCTGCGGGAGAGAATTTGTTCACAAGCCAGGAGTACAAAGTATACGGCTTCTGGTACGGGCAGAGAACACCGCCACCAGGGTACTGGTACTTCTGCGTCACAGCATTGAAGAGCTGGAAATTGTGACGCATATCAGTGGGATCAAAATTGCAATGCGCCATCTCGCACCGCCCACTCTCACTGTAGTAGCCGAGCACGCAGAATTCGGTCGCACTCACAAGCCGCGGCCCACCCGACATTAGGCTTGCACCACGTCAAAAGTTTCTGCCCTGCATTGCAAACCTCCCGGAACGCGGAACGGATGGAAGGAAGCATGTCCACGGAACAGAATCCCGCAACTGTCCACAACGGGGCACTGGAAACGTCCTTCGGATTGTGAAGAATCTCCACAACGTCCGACTCCGGAAACGACTCATTATCAGATGCGTGGCCCTCGTGCGCGAACCCGTAAGGGAAGTCGAAAATAGCCAGAGATATCGGCAACTTTTCTGTTTGCAGCTTCGACAACAAGCGCATGTCGCCATTGATAATTTTCACTTCCGCCGAGTCGTTGTCGTGTGTCACCTTCGTCCACTCGACGAACGGTTCCACGAGAGGTTTTGTACGGAACGCGTGAATAGCGTTCTTCGCTTGCAGTCTCCTCTCCTTGTTCTTCCATTCAATGGCCCGTTTAATATTGCCATCCAGTGCGGGGATACTCGTCTGACCCCTTCTGATGCCACCAACGAACTTCTCCAAAATCTCTTTCTTTGTGTGGAGAGGATACTCCTTTTCGGCGTCCTTGAAGTCAGCAGCGCCCACCCCCACTGCGAATGCCTTGCAGACGTAGGCGATTTGCTTGACAAGTTGGAACTTCTTCTCCATCTCCTTAAGCGAGATCTGCTTCGCAATGACCTCAAGGAGGATAGGGACGGCGTTCTCTGGAGCCATACTACCCATGGCTATCCTGTGTTGCGCTGGCATGTCCTCGGCGACCATGGGGACCTTGTTACCCTGCAGTTGCACCCGTGGATAAAGAAGCGCCATTTCTTGTTCCTTCGCAGCCGCCCTATCAAGCCTCTTCCCATGCTGGCTTTTCTTCGCGTCCTCGGACTCGCTCGGTTCCAGATCCTGGTCTGCTTTCAAGAAGCTCCTCGCAGCCGGCTTCAGTTTTTGGCCTTTGGCCTCGCCCTTCTGCCACATGCTCATGATCTTACACATGAGCTCCCAAATCTCTTGGGGCTTGAAAACACACTGCAGCAACGGGTCTTGGGCGTTCAATTTCCCTGCCTCGTTCGGAATCCCTGCTTCTTTCAGGCAAGCGAGCTTCACTTCTTGCGACTTGACGCACCCCCTGCTCTCAAAGACTTGGGGCCATCACTTGAGCTTCTCGATGAAGCTCAAGTCCCTGCGGTAACCCGCCGCAAGGTTATGCTTGTGGGCAACCTGCCTCGCCTCATCGATCGTGAGGCCAACGTAAACATAGCACACATTGTATTGGTACTCCTCGTTGTCGGGGTTCATGCGTGCTAACTGCTCCCTCGCTTCCCGACTGTGGCCACCACCAAGCACAAAAGTGTCGTAGTCGTCGGCTCTCAGTTTCGTCAAGCTCACGTCTTCTTTGCGCCCGGCCTGGGCAGGGTCGACGAGGCCAACGAAGGGAAGATGATCTCCAGTTGGCTGCTTCAACATGGAGTCCATGATGGACTTCACATGGTCCTCGTCCGGCTCTCTCACCTCCATTGGTCTTTTCCCATTCACCAGGGGTGGCCTCTTCAAACATCTCATCGGCAGGTAAAAGGACTCGTGTCAAAGTTTTTTCTCCTACAAACTCTTCAACTCCTCCCAAGTTTTTGTCAAATCTTTTGTGCGCTCGTTCGGCACGAAACCTTGGGGTACTTGGAGTTCCTCTTCCCTTCCCTTCCCCTTCCCTTGCCCTTCCGGACGAGGCGGACCCGGTGTGACTGTTTTCTTCCCGCGAATCTTCCCGGGAATCGTCTTTGTGCCCGATCTCCTTTCCAGACTACCAGAAGACCCGACAATGGTTTGAGAAGAAATCACATCTTTGGGGCGCTGCGACCTCGCTTTCGAGCCACTCTTCGTGGCCGTCGTCGTCGTCGTCGTCGGAGTTTGTGATTTTTCTTTTCCCTCTGCATACTTTAACGGAAGAAGTTTAGAACAACGCAAATGTGAAAAAACATTACAGGTCTTGAACCTCAAAGAGTCAAACTTCTGGAAACGAGGAGAACGCAGTCAATGTTATAGGCCTTTAACTTCCTAGAAACAAGGAAGACGTAGTGGAAGTTACAGGCCTACAACTGTCGGAAACAACATGGAGGTCATAGACCTATAACTTTCGGAAAGGTCATGGAGGTTCAGGCTTGTAACTTTCACGGCGTATCCGGTAGTTATAGGCCTATAACTTCCACGGCGTTACCGGTAGTTATAGGCCTATAACTTCCACGGCGTATCCGGTAGTTGTAGGCCTTTAACTCTCGGATACGCCGTGAAAGTTTTAGGCCTATTCCTTCCGGTTACACCTTCAAAGAAACGGAATGAAACTTTCAGCTCTTATTTAGACTTATTCCTGCGAAGAGAGACATGCAGTGAGAATTAGGGGAGATGAGAGCATTTACCATGCAACCAGTCTTGTTTAATGCCAACAACCTCTTGTTTTGGATGGGCAACTTCATGGGCATTAATTTATCCCCCTTCAACAGACATTTCGTGAGCTTGCCCTTGATAACGACCCACAACTCCGCGATGAGATATTTTTCAGTCACGTGCGCTGCAAATAAAATTTCGCCGATTCGTGCATAGACACCGTTGCCGCTGGTCTTGACGTGAAGATAAGCTAATCCAACTGTGACATACACGGCCCAAAAGAAGTACTTGAAGTCGCTGCGAACGGGCCTCGACTCGAGGAACTCTCTCTGCCAGCTGCCGTCCTCCTCCATTGGATCTTCTTCCTCGTCCTCTTCCTCTTCTTCTTCCTCTTCTTCTACTCCTTGCTCTTCCTCTTCTTCTCCCTCTCCTTCCTCTCCCTCTCCTTCCTCTTCCTCTCTTACGCCTTCTCTTGCCACGAACTCTCCGTCTTCTAAAACATATTCATCCTCATCTCCTTCTCCCATTTGGGGAAAATCATCCTGCTCCGGTGGCCGCCTTTGCTGCACAACCCCTTCGGAGCACGCCGGCTGCCCCCGAGAAGACACTGTGCCGGTTCTTCTTGCACTCCTCCCCTTGCTTGCACCCCTCGCGCCTCGGGATGTCTTCATCGTCACGAATGGACTGCACGCAAAGAGCCATCCAAAACAAATGTTAACCTCGGTAAGACTGGTTACAGGGCCCTAGCACCCCTGCTTGTTTTGCCCGTGTGTCTCTGTGCCCGTGTGTGTCTGTGTGTGTCTATGTGTCTCCCTGTGCCCGTGTGTGTCTGTGTGTGTTGCTCTTCGTGTGTGTGTGTGTGTCTGTGTGTGCGTCTGTGCCTGTGTGTGCGTCGTTGTTTGTGTCTGTGTGTGTGCCTCTGTGTGTGTGTGCCTCTGTGTGTGTGCCTCTGTGTGTGTGGCAGGCAAATCAAAGGTGCTTGTCGGCCAAAAGCACGTTTGGGACCACTTCCAGACCTTTGTTTTCATGTGTGTCTGTGTGTCTCTGTTTGTATGTATGACTATCTTTGTGTGTGTGCATGTGTGTCTGTGTGCCTCTGTGTGTGTGGCAGGCATATGTTTGCGTGTGTGTGTGTGTGTGTGTGTCTGTGTGTTCTTGTGTGTCTGGTTGTGTGCGTCTTTATGCGTCTTTATGTCTTTATGTCTGTGTGTGTCTGTGTGCGTCTGGGGTAACAAGTTGACAATACAAGCTTGTGTCTTTAGGCGAGAGTGATTTAATGCCTGTGTTGGTTCTGGGGAAACTTTTTGACAATACAAGCCTGTTCTTGTGTTCATGTGTGTATCTCTGTGCTTGTGTTCTTTTGTGTGTGTCTAACAGTGATTTTAGGCCTTTGATTTTATTGGGGAAACTTTCCAGCACTTCAAGCCTGTGTTTTTGTGTGTGTCTCTGTTTGTGTGTGTGTGTGTCTATGTCTGAATGTCAGTGTGCCTGTGTTCTTGTGGGCGTGCCTGTGAGTGTATGTTTGTGCCTTTGTGTGTGTGTGTGTGCATGTGTGTCTGTGTGTGCGTGTACCTGTGTTTGCGTGTGTGTGTGCGTGTGTGTGTGTGTGCGTGTGTGTGTGTGCGTGTGTGTCTGTGTGTGCGTGTACCTGTGTTTGCGTGTGTGTGTGTGCGTGTCTGTCTGTGTGTGTCTAACTGTGTCCTTGTGTGCGTCTGTCTGTGTGTGTCTAACTGTGTCCTTGTGTGCGTCTGTCTGTGTGTGAACTCGACTGCCACAAACGAAAGTGGTTAAAGGCCTACAACAGTTCTGCGAATGTCCTTGCGTTAGTCTGAGCCACTGTGCACAGACAGACACAGGCACAGAAACAGACACAAAAAGACAGACGCACACAGACACAGGCTGTGTCTGTGTTCGTGTGCTGTGCACAAAAACACATACGAACACAGACACGGATTGTGCGTGTCTTTGTCGTTGTGTGTGTCGGTGTGCGTGTATCTGTGTGTGTTTAACTGTGTCCTTGTGTGTGTGTGTTTGTGTGCCTGTGTTTTGTGTATGTGTCTACCAGTGATTAAAGGCCTGTGATTTTCTTGGGAAAACTTATCAGCACTTCAAGCCTGTGTTTTTGTGTGTGTTTTTGTGTGCGTGTCTGTGTGTGTGTTTGTGTGTGTGTCTGTGTGTGTCTGTGTGTGTCTCTGTGTGTGTCTCTGTTTGTGTGTGTGTGTGTCTCTGTCTGAACGTCTGCGTATGTCTGTGTGCCTGTGTTCTTGTGTGCGTGCCTGTGAGTGTATGTTTGTGCCTGTGTCTGTGTGCGGCCTCGGGCACAAAAATATGCGAAGGTGCTTGCAGGCCTTAAACACTTTTGGGACCGCTATCAGGCCTCTGTCTTTATGTGTGTCTGTGTGTCTATTTGTGTGTGTGTCTGTGTTTGTGTGTGTGGCTGTCTGTGCGTGTGTGTGTGTCTGTGTTTGTGTGTGTGGCTGTCTGTGCGTGTGTGTGTGTGTSTRTKTGTGTGTGTACSTGTGTTTGCGTGTGTGTGTGTGCGTGTGTGTCTGTGTGTCTATCTGTGTGTGTATCTGTGTGTTCTTGTGTCTGGTTGTGTGCGCTTGTGTGGTTGTGTCTGTTTGTGTGTGTCTAACTGTGTCCGTCTAACTATGTCCTTGTGTGCGTGTGTCTGTGTGTGAACTCGACTGCCACAGACGAAAGTGGTTATAGGCCTATAACAGTTCTGGGAATAGAGGTAGGTCAGCGAGCCTGCATTGTAAGCAAAACTGGCTGATACTGCCAGGGTAACTCCGGGTTGAATTCTGAGGTCCCCAGCCTCGTCCCAGGTTTTCGCTGTAATGAAATACTGAATATTTCCCCAAAAAAAAAATAAATAAATAAATATACGTGTCTTGTTTTCTGGTTGAGACGGTAGGGTGCCCGACATCCACTAAGGATTCCCTTTCCTTCTTAGTTGGTTGGTTGGTTGGTTGATTGATTGATTGATTGATTGATTGATTGATTGATTGATTGATTGGTTGATTCGTTGGACCCTCGGCTTCTCCGGCCTTCCCCCGCCTTCTACGAACTTCCCCAGACATTCCCCCC